CCTGGGAAGCATTTGCAGGACATTTTTTGTCTGCGCTTCTTAAGTACCAAAAACTTAGTGCATTAGGGTGAAGTACTACAACCACGCTTCAGGAGGGGATCAACTGCTGACTCAATACAACTTTTTTCTCATACAACCTTTCTCTTTCTTTTCACTCAATGCCCGCCCCCCCCCCCCCAAAAAAAATCAGGGTTATCTAAAACAAAACAGCAAATTTATGTGAAGTTAGTAGATCACTGGTCCTTTGCAGACAAAATGTCTCAGCTAACAATAAACTGATTTGCTTTTTATGATTTATCAACACTTTGTGGATTATTTAAAACTGAAACACATTTTGAATTGTAAGAATAACACATTTTTTTGGTAGTGGTGGGGGCTAGTGAATATTGCATTAACAATTTTTTGAGGATAACAATGGGGGAAGAATTTTAGAAAATTTTCTGCACCCCCACCTTTTATTTTCTATTAATGAAACTTGCAACTTTCTTTACAATATCAACCAGCCTGCTGTAGCATTTATCTCCTATCATGTCTATTCTTTATGATAAGAATACGCAATAAATACATTCCTTAGTGATACTGATTTTCAACTATTATCTTATAGAAGAGGAAGAGTTGGAGGGGGAAAGTGGAGGAGAAGTATGATGAAGTGGGGGAATGAGGAGTATGATGAAGGCGGGAGAGAGGAGTATGATGAAGAGGGAAAAGAGGATATGAAAGGGAAAGGGGAGAGAGAAGAGAGGGAGGGAGGAGAGAATGTGGTGAAGAATGAACAGAGGAGGTAAGAGGAAGGGAAAGAATCTATTAGATAAGTGAAAGAGAAAGAATAGCAGTAAAACAACAATAACATTTTGTAAAACAGAATTCTTGATCAGAAATATTGTTTCAGATGGTGGTGTATAGGGGGTGTGGCCAGGAGATGAGAGGGAGATTGTGAAAAGAAAGAAAAAAAATATTGTAAGGAATAAATATAACAAAAACATTACTGATTTGAGTCCTGAAAATATTCTTAACAAATTAAATTTGGAAAGTTATCTATTTTACAAAGTCAGTTTGACACCAAATCAAAAAGAGATTGCCATGTTTGAAGTCTGATGAAAATGAACTTAAAGATTTTTATAATTGCTTCCTGTATAGATCTGCTGGAAGAATATTCATTTAAGAAAGAATATCCAACTTATATGTAATGGATATTATTTGAAATTCTTTCAGAACAATCCAAAATAGTTTGTTTCTTTCTGGAGATTCCCACAGAAATTCTCCAAATTCTTACAAATAATGATTAAACAAAAGACTGTTAGATGTTGGAATAGACACTTTTTTGTCCTAATAATTTCAGAGCTATGCATTAGTTTGTTATTGAAAACAATAAGTCTACCTGTCCTATATGTCAAATTTGCCTAAAAAGCTAAGATTTCAAATTCTGATTTTCAAAGCAGACAAGCCCTCCTCATTTCAGAGATTGGCAGAACAAAATCTTCCTATCGCATTTTCTGTCAATCTTATCTTGTGCCATACTAAGAGAGTATATATATATATATATATATATATATATATATATATATATATATATATATGCATATGCACATTAATACCAGAATGCAAAATTCATAGACAAAGAGATGTGGGTTAAAAACACAAGAAAGAAAATGATTAGTTCATGTAGTGCTGAGTCCAAGGCACAGTCAACATTTATTCCCAGTTTAATAAAATTCTGATATTAATTAAATTACATTTTCCGTTCCCATCCTTCCTTTTGTTTGAATTATTTTGCTCAATTCTCTGAAAGCATTTTCCTAATTAAATTACCAACTGCAACTCATATTTGAGTTATTTTTAGTCACAAATATGAGACAGACAAAGTCTGTAAATGTCTTGCTATTTTCATTCTGACCAAACAGCAGCAATAAATAAACACAAGAATTTCCTGGGAAATATTGATGACAAACAGTCTGTTTGGCTTGAGAGATTTTTTTTTCTTTGTTGTCCAAAACAAATTCTTCATTTGCATGTGTCAGAAGTGTTTCTTTGATTAATATCATGCATGGGGTCAGCACATCAATATGTGTACAAACTTGGGTAATGGTAATGAAAATATTAGCCTTTTCCTTATAAGGAAACATTTGGCATTCATCGATTGAGCAGCCAGTACTAATTCCTGTTGAAATTTATAAAATCTTTCTCTTAAAACAATTTTTCAAGAAAATAGGTTTCTCGAGCCTGGTAACTGTTATTGCTCTTTCTAGTATTGAGATGGTTTGGCGGGGGGAGGGGGGTGTCCTTCCTAACTTTTTCTTTGAAGTAGTGTGGAACATCAACATCTTGATTATGTCATTTTCCCTTTGAGTTACATGTACATTGTAGTTGTTGCTGCTGTTAAAAATCCTTAAATGATGTGGTTTATGTTATTTGGTACAGTTCTTTGTGATTTTGTAGCACCACTCCACAAGCTTTGAAGAAGAACGGACTTCACCAAGACCCACAGGCAGGCTTCGCTTGCTCACAGCCATTTTTAGCCATTGCTCTGAGAAAGCAATTGTATACAGCTGACAGTTTAAAGTATCACCACCATTTATTCAGGTACCAATATATATATAGCATACATGATTGTTTTATCATTCCAAGGGTTGTGTTTAGACAAATGGTTGCAACTTTTGTTGTTATTAAAATATATCAGTCAGTTCAAGCCTTCATTTGTAAAATCCATGTGGATAGATTGAGTATGTATATATGGAATCTCTACTGAAAAATAAGGACCAAAAAGGAAAAAAAGGGATTACATATATCCTGATCAGGCTAAACTATTATATCAAACATTTCAACAGAACATGTTATTTGAGTGGATTCATGTCTTCTATATCAGAGCAGCTTGCTTGTCTTGCACATATATGCTTGAAGCCACCTCCTTGATAAATCAACTATAGTGGGATTTTATGGTTAGAACACTAACATTCTTCCCACTTGGCCATAGCCTCAGTATGGATGCATCCCCAGAAAACCACATAGCAAATTTTTCTTTCATCCATCTGAAAAAAAAGAAGTCAACACTCCTACAAATTATGATACTATGATATTTACAACTTATTTTAAAGCATAAAGAAATTTTCCTGACTTATATTGCTGTAACATATAAAAACAGGGAAATAAACTGATGTTTATATAAATGAAAGCAAGCACTTTATTTAGTAGGTGTTTAATTGTTTTTCCAATTTGTTTGCCCAAGAACCACTCAAAGTATAGGGTTATTAAATGAGATGTTTGTAATAGCATACAGGGAGCAAACAAGTAGATATTATGAAGATATGTAGGAGAGAAGAGGTTAAGATTGTAGAAAATGAGGAAACATCATCTTGGTAGTCTGTTCCACAATGCAACAGATTTTGAGAAGAAGCTGTCTGAGTGGAACTTCCATTTCAGCAGAACACAAAGAGAATGTAGAGGAGTCGACACACTGTATGTGGCATGGTAGCCACTAGCTGTGAAAGTCTGAACTGGTGGAACCAAAGAATGTAGAATCTACCATGAAAATAGTGATAGAGTAGCAAGAAGCTAGCAATGTTTCATCTGTGAGGAATGAGGTTGTCGGACGGAAAACAATTTATCATGCAAATGCTTTTTGAACTCCGCCAAGGCTGAAAATTTTAGGATTGGGCAGCAATGTTCCATTTTTTGTTGTTTAATCTGGCTCTTGTAATTATATGCATTATGTTCTTGAAAGGATCTATTTTTGTGGGAGAGAGTTTGAAGAAGCTATGAGCAGCAGAAACCTTTCTTCTGACAGACGTTTACAGAATTTGTTGATTCAATTAAGGAGACACAAATAGGAACTACTGGTGATTAGTCTTCAAATTGTTATCCATCTTATTTTGCATTGTTTTCTTTGATGACGTATTTGGAGAACATTATTGTTCAGACATTACAATAAAGAAAGGACATATTTTATAAAATCCAGTGATAGTATAAAATTTGTCTTTGCAATAATTTCTAATGTACTATGAGTGTGTTTTCACAGTATGTGATTTTTTTAATTTCTCTTACTCAATCTGACTTGTAGACTCTGGCAGGCACACCAACAGAACCTATTTTTCTTCAACCATTTTTTAAATAGTTTTTATAAGATGTGAACTATGGATAATCATCAACTCTAAGCAGTGAGCTATAACCTGATATGCACAAAGATTATACAATTCCTGTCAGCTAAGATTTGTGTTGTTAAGATGGATTTGTCTGTCCGATTCATTCTTCAGAGATGTACAATATAGATGAACACGTGTTTATACACAGAAGAGAGATGGTGTTATGAATAATAACATATAGTATCTAAACGTATGTGTGTGTGTGTGAATAGTTGGAAATTGAAATGCATAATGCCAAAAATAAAGTAACCAATAGAAACAATGAGAAAAACGAAATCAGGTGGTAAAGAAGAAAGTGAAACATAATAAATAAGAGGGAGAAAGATAGAAAATTAAAAACACAAACAAAAAGAAATGGGGAGGGGTTTATGGTGAAAGAGAAAAGTCATTCTTATTAATTCTTTCAAACAGAGATGCACTTAAAACAAGGCAACTTTCTATAAACAGGCTGAGAGTTAGAATGAGACTGGTACAACGTAATTCTTTTTTTGGCGGGGGGGGTGGGGGGGTGATGGGAACAAAAGGTAACATCGGTGGTGATGTCATGTGATGCAAGGCTGAATAACAAGAAGAAATTGTTTCTGGTTTCCAGCTTGAAAGCATCTTTTCTTCTCTCTTTTTCTGCTGAACTCCTTGTTAGAGAGAGAAAGAAAGATATATGGGGGGAACAAGAGTTATTATTTTTATATATATGTAGAGAGAGAGAGTAGGAGAGGTTTATGGAAAGAAAGTGATTATGAGATATAGAAAACAAGTATGTGAATGAGAGATGAAAAAAGAAAGAAAGTGATAAAGAAGAAGAAAGAGGGATAAGTGATAACAGATAAAATTGATCAATGTAGTGGAAGATATAAATGGGGGGGGTTAGAGAAAGAGAGGAAGAAAGGAAGAGAGTGGATAGAGAAAAAAGGAAAGGTGGGTGTATGAAAGAAAAGAAAATTTCAGGTTAAAAAGAACAGATTTAAAGCTAAAGAAATAGAAGATAAAGAGTGCTTAATGTAAAAGAGTGGTGAAATGAGAAAAAGGAAAAAGAACACAGAGAGTAGGTGAAAAGAGAAAGTGCGAGAAAAGCAAAGAGGAACAGAAAGAGAGTCGGTTGAAAGGAGGTGTGCAAAGAAAGGACTAAAAAGAAAGTGAAAATGACAAAGACAAGGATGAAAGAGAGATTGATAAATGAATTTATTTCTAGTAAAGGACTGTCTTGTCATGGATCAATGGTTAGTATACTGGTCTTACAGGTCATTATAACTGAGTAATGAGACCCAAAGCAGACCTATACTTTTGGCCTTGTGCCGAAACTAAGCATAGCAAATAACTATAAAAGGAAAGAGTAAAATGATAGAGAAAAAGAGAAAAGTGAGAGTGAGAGAAAGTAATATAAAAAAGGCAAAAGACAGAATCTTCAGAAAGAGGAGGAGGAGTAGAAAGAGAAAGAGATAGAAGAAGAGAAAGTGATGGAAGAAGACGAGAAGAAGTAGGAGGAAGAAGACGAGAAGAAGGAGGAGGAAGAAGACGAGAAGAAGGAGGAGGAAGAAGACGAGAAGAAGGAGGAGGAAGAAGACGAGAAGAAGGAGGAGGAAGAAGACGAGAAGAAGGAGGAGGAAGAAGACGAGAAGAAGGAGGAGGAAGAAGACGAGAAGAAGGAGGAGGAAGAAGACGAGAAGAAAGAGGAGGAGAAGAAAAAGAAGAAGGAAGAGGAGGAGAAGAAAAAGAAGAAGGAAGAGGAGGAGAAGAAAAAGAAGAAGGAAGAGGAGGAGAAGAAAAAGAAGAAAGAAGAGATGGAAAGAAGACAATAATACTGAGGAGAGATTATGGATAGAAGAAAAAAATCACTTGTAAACAAGACCAAAAAGAGGGGGTGGCAAGCTGGTTTTAAATAGTCCTAAGTATACCATTATAAATAATAAGATAGGGAAAAAAAATTAGGTGGAGAGAGAGAGAGAGAGAATTTATCTTTGAATACTGTGATTTCATTAAAGAAACCACAATGAAATAAATGGTTCAAATTAATTTCCACATCCTTCGAACAGCTGAGCCTCAGTGAAAATAGGGAGGGTGAGAAGACCAGCTTCTGGGTGTCTATCGTATGTGTATGTCTTGGGGGAAAATCTGAGTGTCTCTAAAAACCAAATCCTTCTATTCTCCTGTGTAGGAATGTCTAGTAATAATAAAATGTAAGAGTGAGCTTATCTAAGTATAAAAAAGCAAGCATATGTGTATACACATCTAAAGATATGTTAATGTGATTTATCAAATGAGATTGTGCTTATAAGCACTATATTATATATATATATATATATATATATATATATATATATATATAGTGAGAGAGAGGGGCTTGCATATATGCATGTAATAGACATATACTATACTACACAAGTGAAAACATACACATATACACTTTATATCAGTTTAAGTGTGTTGAGGTAGATAATTATATTTGTGAATATACTTTCACTTGCCTTATGTCTGTGAGAGGATATGAACAAACATATATTACAACACACATATACAGATATAAAGTGTATGTATGTTGTTTTGCATACACATGTACATACATAACTGCTGAAATCTTCAGCTCAATAAAGAAGCTTTTAAAAAATCTGTTTCGTCAGATTTTATGAAGTTCGTTGAGCTGAGAACTTTTCAGCACTTCCTTATCTATGTTTGTATACATATATACACAAAATTCTCAGTCTCAAACACTGTGTGTGTGTGTGTGTGTGCGTGCAAGTGACCACACAAGAATGTGAAATAGTTAAGAGAGTGCTAAGTTTAGAGAAAGAGTAAACAATGTCAATGGGCAATTTTGTTATTCAGCAAAATGATGAAATATTGATTCAGAAAATTCACATACCATTACATGCAATGGGAGAGCAATGGAACATAGTTCTTCATAAAGAAGCAGCCAGTCTCTCCATATTGACATCACCCTTGACTTTGGCCTTTGCAATGAGGAGACACTGCCTAGGAACAGGCACATGGATATATGGGATCAAAATAGTATAAGAAAATATATATCTCAATTATTGGATATATCTGTGTCCATAGACATTCAGGTACCTCACTGGTTAGTAAGGTGGTTTTGAACATAATTATCATAAAATGTATTTTATATTGAGCGTCCTATAATTTTGGCCTTGTGCCAAACTATATAAAGGTGAGTAAATAACTATAAGTGAAATAGGTGACTTCACACTATTTTTCCCAATAATGCATGGCAATTTACAGCTAATAAAGAAAAAAAAATCTGTGGAGAGTCATGATCTCCTACATCCTGAAAGAACATGGGATTTTAAAAAGAAAAAAAAATATGAGTACACAATACTTAGGGTTAAAGTAACACTAAAGACATACATGTTGGTAGTTGATTAAAATGATAGTTTTGTTAATAGAATAGATATAGATTGTATAGAATAGATTCAAAATGAATTTAATCTTTTTTACTGGTTGCGATTGTGAAATTGTCAAAATTTTATATTTTTAATTTCTCGCATACACATTGTTTTTGATTTTGCTGACTGCACAGTATAGCAGAGTCAGTTGAGCAAATAGAATTGAGAAATAGAATACTATGATGCATTTCACTCCACCAGAAATTTAGAAACAGCATACTTAACTGTTTGGCATTCACACTGGAAGCTCCAATACAAAGATTGTGTTTGGATATCAATCCAAGGACAGTGTAGAGGATTCGGAAAGAGCTGAATGAGTCTAATGGGGATTACAAAAGGTGCTTGGAGTGATTACTAATGATGGTGACATTATGCCTCCATTCATCTTCTCACAAAGCCTCAAGACTCAACATGGAAGTTTACATCAGGTGCCTTGAGAAGGTGGTGTTGCACTGGGTCAAGAGGGTGGCTGTTGGAAGACCCTATGTCTGGCAACAGGACTCTGCACCATGCCACACAAGCAGGAGAACCCAGTCATGGCTGTCAGACAATTTCTACGACCACATCACCTTTTGCATTCACCAACAAGGAGACAGTCCAGAAGAGCTGCAGGAGATTCCGAAGTCATCTGAAGGCCATGATTGAATCTGATGGCAATTTTATTAAATAAATTTACTCTTTAGTATTTAAAAGATATTTTTGTGTAATTTTGGTAAATATATCTGTTAAAATGAGACATCAGCATTATTTTCATTTTTGCGTAATTTTTGCACCTTGTATATATGAAATTCTCTACTGTAAATACTGAACTTTTAGTTCTTTTGTGGATTGAACATCAGCTGTCAAGAGTAAAAGGAAATCAGCATTCACAGATACAACATCCAGCTTAGCACACTTTAATCTGAGTGAATCTGATGGGTAGCTCACTCAATAGCATCTTATCAGCTGAGTAACCCCATGGGAGAATATTTATTCATGCATGAGTAGTAAAGTCCTCTCAAACTGGTTTCCAAGTTTCACAATGGCTATGCAACTGGTTTTAGAGATATTCAAAATGGATGGATGCTTTCTGAACAGACCATATATCAAATTCTCTTTATATATAATTTCATGAAACCTTTTTGAAAGTTAAAAAGCCAGCATAATAATTTTACTGGGTGCTACAGTCCGATAATTTCAAGAGACAGAGATTTTTATTTTTCAAATAATATCAGGTAATATATATAAACAGGTAATTTAATATATGAGGGTGGATCAATAAGTCTGCAAAACTAACACATAATTCCTTCCTTCTTCAGGTGCCATACCTGATCCAAGTATATAAGATCATCCAAGTGTGCATAATGCACACTTGGATGATCATATCTCTTTCAAATTCATGATTGACTAGGCAGAAGGATTTTTGTAGTAGACTCGTTGCAAACCAGGGCTGTGGTATCCAGTCTGTCCTGTGCTATTTAACCTATAGTGGAGGGGAAAGAGAAAGATTCATCCCTTTCCTAAGTGTATTTTGACATAAACGAATCTAGCAGACTCAACTGGAATCCAAACTTGTCTTTCTCAGATTTCTCATTTTGAGCCGTTATCCCTCACACCACCCACACATCCAAACTTATAGCTCCTGTTATTCCCAAGAGGTCACCCCATCTAGGTACTTACAAGACTCAACATTGCTTAACTTTGGTGATCAGATGTGATATGGCTATAATACATAATTAGGTGAAATTTGATCTGAAAATTTCACTGCATAATGTTTTATTTATGTGCTTAGTATTTACCACTTAAGTGCTTTGAAACGGGAGGAGATTAAATTTAAAGATAAGTATTTACAGTGTAAAATAAAGGCTTTTTTTTTGCATTATTCGATGATTCATTTACTGATGTGCATGTGTTTCAATTTCCAAGACAAAGCATTATTGATATTATCACAGAGGTAGAAACTGACCCAGATGAATCACTATAATAATAATATATACAGATTAATATAATATTTATTCCTGCAATGAACCAAGGAGAACCCAAGAAGGAAACAATTCCTAATTTTCACCTAGAAATTCCTTAAATCCAGAGTGCAAGAACAGTGATGCTGACAATTCAGAAATGCTGAAAACAAACTGTAAAGGGATTCCTTTAAGTGAAACGGTGAATATTCTTGATTTAATAATGAAAGACAAAAATCAGATTCTGATGTTACTAAATCTACAGTATGAACAAAATGTTCTATTCATCACATGACTTCTGCATTTGTTACAATACTTTTATTTTATTATTAGTTATTGTTGTTAGTCTTTTATTGCATCTAGTAAAATTTATGGCAAGAAAGAATCTTTCATTTTCACAAAACGATTATGACAGTATATTGTAATAATTTTTATTTTTAAGAGTTATTGTGAATCTCTTATTGTGCCTAATAAGATCTACAAATCTTCAGTCCATTAAAAAAACAAACATTTTAGGCCAAATAACAATGAAGACCAGTTCCCATACAATATCTGAACTGGTCAGTGCATAGATGGGTGACTGCTTGGGATGTGCAGGTGGTGTAATATATAATGGCCTGGAATTGTTAATCAAAGAGCAGAGTTTTAATTGCTGTTGGATGTGCAAATACCTTTTGGAAAGTTATGAATCTACTTCTTCTTTCTCCAGTTATGGGTTAAGTAGTAAGACTTAAATAATAATATCAAAAAAAGAAAAATTCTTACAATCTAAAAATATTTCTGGCTTTAAATAACCTGCGGAGAGTTGACAACATATCTGACAAAGTTTTTATTACATTATATTGTTAAAATTGTTTTATTAGTAGTTATTGTTATTTTAACAAGTATTCTGACACACAACTTTTACTGCAGTGTATTGTTATAATTGTTCTATAATCTGTTACTGTACCTAATTTATAAATTAGACTTAAGTATGCAGTTGTAGATAAAAAAAAATAAAATACTATATATAGTATTTGGTACTGTGGTTTAAAGCATTTGCCGGAGGGGTTTGGTGGATAATAGTGGCCTATGGAATATAATAGTACAGAGAAGCAAACCTGATTACAGCTATATTCTCATAAAATCCATAAAGCCAGCATATTACAAAGAAGTATTCTGAGTTATTCCTTGAATGAAGAAAATTAAGCTGGTCGCTTCTTAGATGCGTATTTCTGAAGCATCTTTTGAAAATGGTAACCGAAGCAAAAGAAATGCTATGAACTGCAAAAGACTTCACATGAAAGCACAAAGTCAGAAGAATTCTTCTGGTGTCAACACAAAGAGAAATAGTACACCCAGCTATGTCAAAAGAAGAGAGAAAATAACTACCAACCATATATATATATATATGTATGTATGTATGTGTGTGTTGATTTACATGTTTTTTTTTTCATATAAGAAACAGTAAAATGTCTGTATAAAAGGATGGATTAATAAGTCCACAGCTAGAGAATAACTGAATTTTGTTCTGAAATTTTCACTGTATAATGTTCAATATATATGATTAATATAAAGCACTGAATCACAAACATTGACAAAGAAAGAAATTATGCTGAAAAATATATACTTATTAGATAATAGATAATTAGATAAAATAAATACTTTTTTATTCATCATCAATCTACAGACATTGATTTACCTCCATATATCCTGGGTGACTGCTTGGAAATAGCAGGTGCTGTAAGCTTGGTTGTACAGGTGGTGTAATGGATAATGGCTTGGAAATTGGAGAGCCAAGTTCTAATTCCAGTCAGGTTTGTTTTATATTCACTTATGGGCAAACATCTTTGGGAAAGATATAAATCCACCTCTTCTCCCCCCAGCTATGGGTTAATTAGTAATACTTGTATTCTTACAATCTAAACATAATTTTGGTTTTAAATAACCTGCAAAAGGTTGACAAGCCATAAAAAACAAACCAAACAATCAATCCATATATCTTTTATATATATATATATATATATATATATATATATATATAAGATAGAAGGGTGGATCAATATGTATATAGTCTGGCATGCAGTGGTTAATTAAATTTCGTTATGAAATTTTCATTGTATTATGTTTTATCTTTGGATTTCATTGAGAATTAGACAAAAGGAGATATTAAAAACAAATTTCTTGGATAAAATAAATGCTTTTTTCCATGATTAGGCTACAAACTTATTGGCGTAGTCACATGGATGGGTATATGTATACTGAAAAGTTCTTAACCCACCAAAAAACACAAATTTTTTGAGATTTTGGAAGATTTGACCTGAGAACTTTGAAAAACTCATGTTCTATATATGAATCCGACACCTGAAAAAAACAAAATTCTGAATATTTTTGATGTTAAAATTTTGGAAGACGTTTTTTGTTTTTAAGACATGAGAACTTTGTCCAAACCTCAACATTAATATGTATATATATATTAAATATATATATATATATATATATATATATATATATATCATACATCCTTCCTTCAGAATGGCTGATGTGTGAATGTGAGCCAATGTCAGTTTCAATGTGGGGCTCTTGTGCAAACCAAACCTATGTTATCGGCTCTTGTGCAAACCAAACCTATGTTTATGTTATCGATTCCTGTGCAATCAAACCTAGGTCTACCTTTCTACTGTTTATCAAAAAGGACAGAATTCACTATTAACTGTAAAAGACTTAAATATCTTAACCTGAACATGGAATAATGGTAAGAGAAGTAATTCACTCTGTCAACTCCACGGATACAGCAAAAAGGTGTTAAACAGAGGAAGACTCACCTGGTTTGGATAACAAATCAATGAAGCAAAGAAACGTGCTGAGAAACACTTAACCCAGCCTGATGGCAATACCAAAAGGAACAAACAGTGGCATCACAACTGAAAAACATTCTGCCTCCAGAATTACCAGTCTCATGAATTGCGAGTTATATTTGGAATGAAAGAGATTTTAGATTAATGGAAAACAGAATCCCAGCAGCTGTGTCCAGCACTTAACACTCATCAAAGAACAATGAAGAGAAACTTACAAACAAGTCTGTTTGTCGATTTGTCTAATGTGTTTATTGTAATCAGTTTTGCAGCAATTACTGACCATCATTTATTTGTGCTGAGACAACTGCCATCAGAAATACTTGTTATTACACTATTTATAATTAATGCATTAATTATTTTAATTATAACTAATCATTAAGATAATAATAATTATCAAAATTATTAGTTTTTCATATTATCAATGCTAATGTGATCATATTATAGACTTAAATGAAGAATTCTTTAATTAAAATTAATTTGGAAACTATATAAGCAAAAATATAAATTTCTATAGACATAAAATAATAATGTATAACTCCTAAATATGAGGATTTTTCACAAAGTAATGCTTGTTTTCTTCTACATAAATCATACCAAAAATATACACAGGTGTTTACTTTGTAAACCCGATTCTCAACATAGTCATCTTCCTTCTAAATTGTGGTATTCCATCTTTGAACACATGTAGTCACTTTGTAGAAACTGCTTCCTTAGCTATGTACGAATTGCCTCCTTCATCAGACAAAATGGATGAAAGCTTGACAGTGTTGTGTCAAGACTTCTTTATGGAATTTGTCAGCATTCTGGCAGATCATTTTGCACAAACAATAGACTGCACTAACTGCAGGCACTACCATGGCTCACCAAGAAGCTGCCAGAGTTTTGCAATAGTTGTTCTGTCAGCTGTAATGAAACATCAGTCTGTTTGATTTCATTCACAAGAGCAGCTGACCTGCTACTGAGGTGCCTGTCACGAGAATCAGTTTCTTTTTTCCCTCTAGAATTGCCCATTAACTCTTCTCATCCATCTCCTTACTACAGACTTTCCATAATTATTCACTAATCTCCTATCAATATTTACAGCATTTTCTCTTAAAATGAAATTCTATATCTTTTTGCTTTCTGTGTGTATGTCAACAGAACTCTACCATTTCAATTTAAATGATTAAAAATTTTGGAGGTTCTGCACATAAAATGGTGTTGATAAAATTTGTTTAAAACTCAGTACAAGGACATTTTGGTCACATGACATTAAAAACCATTCTACAGATTATGCCACCTCGTAAATGACATAAATGTTTCACTATCTCGACTTTTCTCTTCTTTCCCTAAAAATGATCAATAATGGTTGAGATTAGAAAGTACTCAGAACATTGCACACAATTTTTCCAGATGCAATCATGAAACCAAGTTCATACACAGCAGCTACAACCAGATTATTATAACCAAAAAGACAAAATGAAATCTTATAGTCTAAATGTATTCCAAATTAGAACTACATGAAGGAAAAATTATAGAAAATATATAAATGAAAACATATCAATGAATATAATATTATGTAGATAAATAAAATAAACAAAGTGAAAGGTCACCACCATAAATAACCTGAAACATTCATTACCCCTTAACAAATGAAATAGGAATCAGTTCCCTCCTTCTGCAATAACTTGTCTTAGTCCCTTAGTGACCTATATCTAGTGTCTGTTAAAAGTGTAGTGGCCCTTAGTCTGAAGGCTACACTGATGAAAATGACAGTGATCATGCAGTGTTGATAAGTGTGTGTGCATGTGTGTGTGTGTGTGTGTGTGTGTGTGTATATATATATATATATATATATACACACATACATACATACATACACACACACATTCGAATCATCTGAAGATCATGTGAAATTCGGGTTACATCATTCATAGGATTTAATGATGTTAAGCATTTTTTGCTCTGTCTAGAAAATCTAGGCTTTACTTAATAGATGAAGTTTGCCATTAGGCATTTTTTCAGTATTGTCATTTTTGTTACAAACTTTATCTGGAGAAGAGTTTTAAGTTTTGGCAAGTAGTCTGTTGGTTCAATCAACAATTTTTGCTTATATATATATATATATATATATATATATATACACACATACACACAAATATGTGTGTGTGTGTTTAAAATCTATATTTATAAATCAAGAATGTTCAAAATATCAGAGATAGGGCATTGTTACATAAATAAGGAAAGTAACATAGAACAAATAACCAAAGTGATTCCAACATATCTTCGATACACATTTGTTACTCATTCATAATTAGCAGGAGTTACACAAAACCATTTTTCTATTTCAAAAGAATGCTTAACCATTTCATTTTAATACAATCACAGTCAATTACCTCCCTTCTCTTTAAATAAATGGCATTCGTGCATTTGAACTGAAAATATCTTTAACAGACAAAATTGTTTTTTTATTTAGAAGAGAGGCTATCCAAAATGGTTTTATATGGATTATAAATAATATTTCAATATCAAACAACACCTACTTTTGAGGTTCATTTGGATCCTTCTTCTTCTTCTTTTTGGGGGTCTTTTGCTTTTTTGATGAACAAGTGTCCATAGAATTCTCCATTGCTGCAGTCCGCTTTATACTGGCAAGCTGAAACATAAGAAACCAACTCTGATTTAAGTAACAAAAAACAATAATTGTTTTTTTTATCCTCTTCCATTTATTGCTTTAATTTTTAAAATTGATCATTACAAATACATATCATATTTGATTGCATCAAAGACGCACAGGTATATTAGAGGCACACCACCCCATTTCAGCAGGTGGTTGGCTAGAAAAAGTTTTTTGTTTAAAGATGTAATGTTTCAACCAAACTATCAGTACATTAAAAAACATTACAAAAGTACATTGGCTACAGCAGAAAACCTGACTGTATGTAAAAAGCAAGTTAGCTATACAGGTGAACATAAAGCAACAGTAAAAATATCCTACATTATCATAGTAATAAAACACACCTTGTTGCAATAATTCCTTTTACAGTACCAGTGGTAATAATAATAATGTTTGAGAAAATAATAACCAGGCAAGGTAGAAGTGACCATCTGATGTCATTTTCATGGTAGTGAACATTAGGGATAAAATAGGCTATAGGAGGCCGTAACTTTGAATCTGAGATGCAGGGTGAGTTTTTGAGAAAATAAGTGCACCTTATATGCTATTAAATATGGTAATCATATTTATTACCTTACAACTATGATACTCAGCTTTTAAAAATCAAGCAGTCATTCAATGCTGTAAGACCTACAGTTGCTGTATCTATTTATATTGCTTTAATCAAAACTGATGATTGGATGCACATGTGCATCAAAAACAATATACATCATAACACAAGACACATACATGCATTGTATAACAGTGAATGTCTTATCAGACTGTATTCCCAGATGGCTGAGTACAGCTATAAACTAAGCATGTTTTGCAACTGTTGGCCATCCATACTTCAATGGCCCTGAGAGATGCTTGAAGCAAGCTTTCACATATGGCTAAATACAGCTAAAAATAAAGTCTGACTGTTGTAACTGTTGACCATCCCTACTTCAGATGTCCTGTGATATGCTTGAAGCTAGTTTTCCCATAAACAATCTAACACCATTGCATGACATGTTTTGTAACTGTTGGCCATCCATACTTCAGTTGTCCCATCAGATGCTTACAGTGGGCATTTACATCTGAGCAAGGAAATCAAAGAACACAATGTGGCATGTTTTGTGTGTTAAAAAACATTGGACGCTGGTATTTACACATATTTTCAATCAGAAACCAAACATTTTACCAAATTGTCTACTTTTTCTTTCTTTGAAGTCTGTTTTAAATATAACTTTTAAATGTTGCATTCAAATTAAAGTAAAAAAAGAAAAAAAAACTGATAACTAATTGATGTTAGCAAATAATTAAAATTAACATAAAAATAATTAAAACCTCCACCAACCAGACATTTTAAGTGTTTTCCTCATTTACTCACCTGTGCCAAAGGTACGCTGTCGTCACTGTCGTCGCTGCTCTCACGACTTGGTGATGATGTTGAATTTGACGTTGCTGGTGATCCCTGCTTCATAGTAGTATGGAATCCTAACTGTGAGGTAACTTGTGACTGACTGATAGTCAACAAAGGTTGGTGATCTCTTGCCATAAGTTCTGACTGATGGGGGATACTCCCAGGATACATATCCACATCCGACGTTCCGGATGTGGTGACTGTATCTGTGGAGAAGGTGTTCTCTGACGTTGACATTACACTGTTTAAGACGCTGATGTCAGGTACGTCCAGGGAGTTTTGAGGGGGAAATTTTGGAATCACGGATTGCTGGTTTTGGTTGAGTGATTCCAAGACAGAGCAGTCAACGGACAAGTCCGAGGAATGCGACAAGGGCTGAGTGAGGTTATTCAATTCAATGTCCAGGACTGACTGACCATGTAAGGTGCGTGACTGGTAGGTCAAGGAAGAATCACTCAGCCCAATTGGGGGAATGTTAAAGTCATCGTCTCCAAAACTTGGCGTATGAAATGGCTGAAAAGAGAAAATTAAATTTAAAAAATTAAATGAAAGTGAATGAAATGTCTACTTAAAAAATTTGTTATTGTCATTTATAATTTGTTTTTTTTTCAAGGTCATGTACAGTAACTTCATAACAGTAATTTGTATCATAAAAGTAAGACAAAGCAAATATCATTTGTTCTTGGTAAGTTTTCTGTGGAGAAATACAGTCTTTCTCATCTAACATAGCAAATAATGAAAAGATACTTCTCTATAAGAAAAATACAGTCAACTCCCAATTCTTTATCTATTAACAAGAAACATTTTATCTTCAAGACTTTCCATAGGCTTCATACATATATATAGACTAAATTGAAGGGATATACACAAAAAGGCTGGCAAATATATAGCAAATAGACAAGCAATTCTCTTTTTCTATTATATAGATATATATATATTTTAAACACAAACAATTGCTGAAAAGTTCTGGGTCCAACCACTCACTGGAAACAATATTTCAATGACAAAACATCAGGAAGAAGAGATAAGAACTTTTCAACACCAACTTGTGTGTGTGTGTGTGTGTATACGCATGTGTACATATAGTAAAGAAATGAATAAAATTTTAAAGAGTTATCCTTTGATAGAATTTTGCAGAAATAACAACTGAATTTATTAACAGGTATCATACTTACACACATACAAACACAATGTATCTGTACACGGGAATCAACACTGCATGGTGACTGTCAGCTTTATGCCTCAAATGTTCAGTCACAATGCAATATTGATTCCTATGTTTATACTGCTTATATCTACAAAATATCATTATATATATATATATATATATATATATATATATATATATAAGAGAGGAAGAGAATTATTTTTTATCTTTGAAGCAAAGTTAGATCAATCTGCTCAGAAAGCATAACACAAGAATTGATATTTACTAAGCATGTTTAGTATGACATGGCCACATTTGTAAGTCACCTGGTGAGGATCAAACTAACTACACAGCAGTAATGTTCTGCAAGACAAACTTGTTAACCACAACAAGGTGCTCTTCACAATTTAGACTTTATAAAGAAATGGACTAATTTGTTTATTAAGTTCACCTTTGTCTGGTATAAGACCACAAGTTTGGAGCATCCATTGAAGTACTGAAGTGGAGCATCACTAACAAAGTAATAATCTAAGATCAGCTAACAATTCTTCATGGATTTAATATTTTTGTAAAAGAAACACAAGTAGAAAATATATATATATATGTGTGTGTGTGTGTGTTAAAATTCAGATATAACTAAAAAAATATATCTGTAAAAGAATAGGAATAAAGACAAAAGGAACACTTACCTTAGCCATCACATTTCATTCTCTGATGGACTTCATCAAGGCAAATAAAATCCTTACATTTGCCTTAAAATCCATCAGAGGATGAAACACAATAAGTTTTCCTTTTTCTCTTTATATATATATATATATATATATATATATATATATATATATATAGAGAGAGAGAGAGAGAGAGATAGATATAGATATAAAGAGAAACAGGAAAATTTATATATATCTGCACACACACAAATTTTGTCTGTGTACAGATATATATATATATATATATATATATATATATAATAAAGAGAAACAGGAAAATTTATATCTGCACACACACACACACAAATTTTGTCTGAAAATTGCATGTGGCATGAAATGGACAGTCATCAGACAATGTTGATTCCTATGTCCACATTTATACATGCTCCATCTCCAATATTGAGCATTGCTCTGTACCATATACTGAGCTGTTATATGGACAAAAAGTCCTCTTTGGTATAATCCCTACCCTACCAATTACAATTTGTTTATATATATATATATATATATATATATATATATATATATATATATGCACACGTAGACAGACACATGCACAGTGTATTCTACTGAACTGAACCATGAATGTTGCTGGTTTTCAAACATTTGCATAAAAAGGACAATCTAAATGAAAAAGTTGATTCTATTTTTGTATGATTGCTTATGCTTACCTAATGACCCTTCTTTGTAAACAATGAAGCTTTCATTTACAATGAAATCAACTCTTTAACCATTGAAATCTAGATATCAAAATTTTAATGTAGTTTCTTTCAATAAAAGTCAGAATAGTCACTGGAGAGAATTCTTGTACAAAAATCAGACATTCTGTATACTGAAGCTATACCAGTAAATATTTACATTCCATTAACAGTTCAGGTGATATTCAAGAAAAAACAATTTTGTTATACTGTTTCTTTTCTAAAATGATTCATGTTCCAAATTTCAAAGAAACTGTTGTTAATAATTGCCAAGATTAAAAAATGATGAGGTTCAGAAGAATATCTTTTCAATATGAAAGCAGCTGGCAATATTTTTTCTCAATGCACAATATAAATCACATGTATAAAAAAAAAAAAACCATCATGAACCAAGGGAATTTAACTCCAAATTAACCAACAGCAACCAGGTGGAAAGGTACAACTCATTGTCAAGCAACAACAACATATTTGGTTTTAAATTTATAACAATTGAACAAAGAATATATTTTTTTTAAATATTAAAATGAATGAATAAATAATTTTGTGAAAAAATTAAAAAAAAGAAAAGAAAAAAAGAAATCACAAACCATAAACATGATAAAAATGGAGAGAGATTTACATGAGTCTTCAGAATGGTGGAAAGGTATCCTGATCAGAAACAACAGATCCAGTAAAATGCTGGTCAAAAGTTTTTCTTCAACTAGCTTCATTTGGCCACTCCCAGGTGGCACAGAACACTGGGTCAGATCGGGTTGGGGAGGGTAAGGGGGCTGACAAGGGGTAGCAGTTTATTTTTGAAACGATCAGCAAATCATATCTTCTCATTTTTACATGAGTGACTCATAAGCAACTTGCCCAAGTCCACTCACACTTTGCCGTGAGTGAGAAGAGAATAGAAAGGGGAAGGTAGAAAAAGGAGAAGGCAAAGAAGGGTAAGACTTGCTGGATAGGTTAGAAGTATAAAGCAGAGAGAACAGGGGAAATGTCTTTCATTACTTCTGCCTTCAATACCAGACTGTACTTTTCTTTCTTCCTTCCTTTCTTTCTTTCTTTTTACTGCCAGTACATAAAACATTTATCAAATATTTAATCTAGAACAAGGAATTATAGTTGTCAGGCAGCGGAAAGGACAGAAGGTTGGGGTACATAAAAAAAAAAAAAAAAAAAAAAAAAAAAAACACACAGGGGAGCAAACTGGAATAAAAAAAAAATTAAGTGCAATTGGGGTGGTGGGAGGTTAGGTCCTATATCACAAAGGGATGTTTATTCAGGTGTGTGAAAGGGAGGGAAGGGGGTAAACCAGGTGGTGAAAGCAATAGTGAAAAGGAGGGGGAGAGAAGCTCAAGTGAAAAGAAAGAGAAAAGCTTGAAACAATCTTGAGAGAGTATAATTAAAACTAATCACACAGCGAACTAACGAAACAGAGGAGGTTCAATCATAATTAAACAACAGTGTTTAGGACAAAGAAAGAGTGACTAAATAAAGAGAATTGCAATCAACAAAGACAATTTATATTTTCTTTCTTTCCCTGTGTGTGTGTGTGTGTGTGTGTTAAAAAAAATATAGTAAAAAATATAATTATAGTAGGTGAGTAAAAACTTACAAGAAATACAAAGCCACACACATACATACAGAACCCGACATAGACACATACAGAACCTGATCGATATTATGTAGATACGTTTTTATACAAACAGGCCATATGAAAGAAAATATGGCTCAGTGGAAGAGCGAAGGATGACTGATCTGACTATTTTCAAACCTGGATAAAATGCTTTTCCATGAATTGACCGAATTTGTTTTAAATCTGCAAAATCCATAAAATATTTACACCTTCAGAATTACCATAGATGGTGCATCACCGGTAAACATAAACTATAAAAATAAATTTGGATTTATTTATCTTCTCAACAAGCAAATGATAAAATAGTTCCAATAAATACAGGAAAAAAAAAAAGCATTTCAAACTTTTGAAGAATAAATAGCTAATCACAAGTTCTTGTGACTAAATCTTTACAATTGATCTTCCCTTCATAATAAATAAAGGAAACTAAATGGTAATCATGAGAGCAATGCTTGGTGTAGCATTAGGGCATTTATTATTATTATTAGTAGTAGTGGTGGTGGTGGTAATAGTAAGATTAATGGTTATTTGTTTTTACTAATATTTCTTTCATCTTAATTTCAATTGTTTTTCATCAAATTCACTTAGACTGAAATTCTATAGCCATCAAAGAAATTGGTGAAGTAAGAATAAACAATGATTTCTCAGTGTGATTTGAACTCATACCCCTTTTGTTTTGGGAAGCCAATCTGACTGTGATAGCTGCATTTCTCGTTTGACAGAAGAGTAAATTGAACACCAGAAACTTATTCTGACCTTGGGGTCTGGGCAATTACTTGGAACTGCTATATTTGCTTTGTTTATATATACAGAGCAACCTCGGTTCTTCAACATCTCACATGTTGAACAAATCAGTTTTTGAACAGGAAAATTGACATGAAAATGCCTTGGTTACCAAACAAAATTTTGGTTCTCAAACAACATTGCCAAACCAAGCCAAACCGAAATAACCTGAATGGAATAATTTCTGAGTTGACTGCTATGTTGTATACATCTGTGTTTTGCTGTGTTTTTCTTTTCCAATTTTATTGTACTGTGCCTTTTTTTTTTCTCTCTTC